TAAAATACAAATAAAGAATAACTAATTAATAAATATAAAATAAAGATAAAATTACTAAAACTCATTTGATAACACTAGTATTAAAAAAACTGAGAAAACTGCCTATAATCTTGAATCATCTAATAATTAAAATAATAAAACACTTTCTGGATCTTGTTCTACATTTACTACTTTTTGTTTACAAATATATCAGAATACATCATCTTAATTACCTCATCGAACTACCTTACATGTAATTTCTCAATCTTATCTAACTACTACTCGATTTAATAATAATATGTTAGATATCAGATCATTATCTACACTTTAATGCTTCTCTATATATTTAAATATAAAATCAACTATTTTAATTAAATTTATATTTATTTATTTATTATAATATTACTCAATAAATTATTTTTGTATAAATCTATTAGGTAATAAAAAATTAAATTGATTAAATCTTAAATTTTCAGATTTAAGTATTAAAATGTAAGTGTAATAAAAATTAAGCAAAAAAAATAAAAATGAATGAATTTAAAACTAAAAATATAATAATACGCATAAGGCTATACAAAATTAATTAATTGGTTTTCATCCCAGCCGGCCAAAAGTAAAAAAAAAAATTGGTTTAATAACCGGGAGATTTTTTAAATTTTTAAAATTATAAATCTTTTTTTTTTTTTTTTTTTTTTTTTTAAAAAAAAAAAAAAAAAAGGCCTAATGTGTATTTCTAATTTTAACGCGGGTACTTTAACAAGACTTTATCTCTTTCCAAACATTCAAATATCTATTATCAGTTTCCATGATTTAATGTCCAAAAACCAAGAATAAATGAACGGATAGTGATAATGAGAAGTTGTATGTTTAAAAAGGATTCAACAACTACCAGAAGAAGTAAATTGGAATTTAACTAGGGGGTGTAGCGGTAGGAAAATATTACTCTTCAACAAATTCACTAATAATACATTGTAGAAAAAAAAAAAAGAAAAGAAAACATGCTAGTATTACACAATTATATATAAACTTCATAAAAATAGAGTCAAATAAATGTATGCAAGTCTAGATAATCTTATAATAGTTATACATCTTGCAGGATAAATAAACCCAATAAGCATTATTTTGATTTGGTATTTTGGCTTAACCAGTTCAATCCATCAAATAGCCCTTCACCAGTGGTCGCGCAGGACGGATGAACATACCAAGCTCGATCACGCATACGATGCAGATGAAGTTTTTCGGTGACCTCCGCAGGCGACATTGCTAAGTTATTTTTATAAAATTAAAATTCTAAACAATACTAAAACATGTAAATATATTTAATTTAAAACATACCGCCTGGTAAATCTTGTTTATTAGCAAATACTAAAAGTAAACAATCCTTCATTTCACGATCTGAAATAATTCGATGTAGCTCTTGGCGCGCTTCATCTATTCGGTCGCGGTCTTGTGAATCAATTACAAATATAAGTCCTTGGGTACCTGTATAATAATGACGCCAAAGTGGACGAATCTTGTCTTGACCACCAACATCCTAAAAATAATTTAATGAAAAAAAATACCTGACTTATAATTAATTTCTAAATCGTGAACTTACCCAAACATTAAATTTGACGTTTTTATATGTCACTGTTTCCACGTTAAAACCGACGGTAGGAATTGTCGTCACTGATTGATCAAGCTTTAATTTATATAAAATGGCTATTTATAAGAATTTGAGTGTTAAGGAATGATCAATGAAAATTAAACTTTAAGTTTAATCGAAATTATTGAATATGTTTAGCATATGAACTTTGACTTCTTACAGTTAAATTAAAAAAAAAAAATAAGATTACCCGTTCGTTAGAGAAAAAAAATCTCTGCATACTTTATTGATATAGCTCGATATTTTATACGAACAAAAGGATACTTGTCTTTCCTGCAGCATCTAGACCCAACATCAGTATGCGCATTTCTTTGTTACCAAAGATCCTTAATAAAGCTTTCGAAACTGATCCACCCATTGCGGCTATGCTTTATTTGAGAAGATGGAAAATGGTGTTAGGGAATGAATCGGAATTTGGTAAGTCTCTTTTGTGCTTGAAATATACTCCGCGATAAAATAGAAAACTAAAGAATGAAATAATAGCTGGTATGGGGAAATTTTGATTATATGCGACTAAAAATAATGAAAAAAAAAATAAAACTTTATCAGTTATCAAATTCAGTTCATTTTTATTGGCTATTATCACTATCACCACCAATAAAATTAATTAAATATCGATATCTAAATTTTTTTGTTTGTTTTTATGAATATGCTACGATCAAGCAAATTAATTAATTAAATTAATACAATATGTATCTAACCCGATACTCCTTAGCGGAACTTTTGTTTGATTGGTTGATGCAATTCGATTACTCGGGTATACACTTTAAAGTACTTTATAAGAACGTAACGTTTCACTAATAAAAAATCACTTCAAGATCATTGTGAAAAAATAATCTCACTTCTGACAAACTTTTTTAGAAGACAAAGCCTTAAATTTTTTGGATATTTATTTACCTGATGGTATAGAAAAAAATTTGTGTCTATCCTACGTATTAGGGTTTTTAAAAGAAGTTGAAACCAATTTGGTTATAAAGATGCCAAAGTCATGAAATTTTATCTAAAAAAATAGTCGTCAATTAATTAATTATTTTATTTTTTATTTTTGAATATTTGATTTTGTAATCAGATTGGGCAGTCATTATTGGACTTTCAAATTTTTGTGCCATAACTTTAAAACTTCAATAGTAAAATAGATCTTATTTAGGAACGGTACATAAATTGAATTTTTTTTTTTCTACGTAATAAAATTTAAGTTTCAATCATACATGTTATATCGATATACGTAGCATGATTACTAAGAATAAAAGTGATTATTATTTTATGCTAATTATCTGCTACGCATACAATAAGTGCCGTATCAGAAGCCTAAAATCTTAATTTGCGCTTTTGGAACCCTGAAGGGATCCCAAGAATCAACCACCTCGATCACTGCCGCAGTACCTCGGTATTTTTTTTCAATTAAAATACAATAACCAACATTATTCATTTCACTATTATTGCCCATATCAGCAGATTTTTGATAATGTATACATACTGTAAATAGAAACTTGCAATATTTTTTCACTTTAGAATACAATCACTAACAATATTTTTAATTTCAATTCTATCAAGATAATATTCACCAAATACATTTCTTTAACGTTACCCATATCAGCAGATTTTCAACAATGCATGAACGCAGTATGTTTATCCTTTTCTACTCCAATTCCATCTTGATAGTTTCTGTATTTTTCACCTTCAACCAAGTCCAAATATTTCACAAAGCATAACCTGTTTCACAAATTTTGATAATTAACGAATTCCCTAATGTTCGTCCTTTCAACCACAATTCCTTTTCATAACACAATAAAACACTATTACAACATAATCCATATCAGAAATTTTCGGAAATAAATGAATACTTCATATTCATCCTTTTTATTCTAATCGATAGCATTCTTATTAAATAAGTTCTATCAGCATCATCCTTTTCAACTCTGATTCCATGCTGATAATTATGTTTGAGGTTGCAAAGGCGAATTTACTCAGTACATTTTTCTAAGATGCACGAAAACTAAATTTATTTATTTTATCAATATATGCTATTTGAATGAATGTATTGAAATTATTACACAAATCTATACGGATCAAATTTTATAAATGATTGGGTCATATCGGACCGGTGCAAGCCCAGCCTGGCTTATTTCCCAGAAGTTTTTTTATTGGGCATGCCGGCCCGTTCTAAACCTACATGTATCCTAGTCCAATATTGTCGTTGGACAGCTTTAGACATGAGTTTGACAAAAAATAAATGCGAAGTGATGGGAGATTACGTATTATAAATCTCCTGCCTCGTAGCGCCTCACGGGTAACGTTTGAAACTAGTAATCAATGAGGTTGGGCGTGGGAAAAGTCATATATCAAGCGCAAAAGAGGTAAGTAATTAAGAGCACTTCAATCAGGTAGCAACTATAAAGCTAGATATTTGAAGTTCAGATCCGCTAGTGCTCGAACCGAAAAAATTTCTCATCCCGCCAAAATCGACAATATGTGACTATGTCATTTTCTTCAATTACGGCCGGCTTGCTTAAGCGAGCGAGGGAATGGCGACTCCTAGTGCAATTTCGATTGCTTTTTTCGCGGGTGTTAATGCCAACTCGGTCAATCGCTTAATTTTCATTCATGTAATCTGCTAACCTTAAGTTCAATAAAATTCTCACTCGGCCTAAAATTGTAAAATTGTCTGCTGGTATACGACATTCTGATTGAGAGAAATCAGTGTAATAAGTAATAGTTATTCCACGGGCATGACATCATCAGTAAAAATTTTTAATCAGAAATGTCACGGGCATAGGACCGTGGGATATCTATTACTTATCTTATACCGTAAGGCTAAGGCAAATACATAAAGTCCGAGTGGCTTAAAGATATAATTAAATAATATTACATACTGTAACAGTCATAATTTTTTATATTAATCCTTAAGCCACCTTCGGAATTTACTCTTAATGTGGTACAAAAAATTTGCAGGTGTAAGGGATAACGGTGGTTTTTCATCTATTATGTTACTGATTAATTTGCTAATTTTGAGATATCAAATATTGAATACATAGGTGTAAAACACCATAGGTGCATTTTAGTAAAAGTGAATTTTTTTTTATTTTAATGTATAGAATTGAAATAAAACTTTTGTCGATTTTTAACAAGATATATCCACTATCATGCTGTTATTATGGATCGTTGATTTCATCCGATCAGAATGTGGTTTTTTTTTCGCCATGGCTAGCGTACTAAAAGAACTAAGGATTGGACCTGAGTAAAAACTACTACCCGAAATATATTTAATATAGTAAAATTTCTCGGATAACCCGGGTAATTTAATACTATCCGAGTCAATCAAAATTCAAGATAGTTTCATTAACCAATCAAATTTTAAGACAGATTCACTAGCAAATCAAAAATAAAAATAGTTTAAATTTCAAGATCAGAACAGTGGGTTGCCAGCAACCAAAATTTCAGATACGATCAGGTATAATGTAAAAGCAAAAAAATTTCATACACTGATCAGGTGTAATGTAAAATCAAAAAATCAAATCAGCATCAATATAATAATTTACTTATAAAATTTTAGTTTAACACCTCGAATAGAGATTGGGCCCGTTGAGAAAGTCTCTACCGGGTATCTATTTCTGACAGACCATTTGGATTCTATCAAATCCGGATTGAATCCATGTCAGATTTTATATAAAAATAGCTTTGAGCACATCCTTAGATCCATTATTTAAGTTCTTTGACCAATCCTAGTAAAAATCTCTGATTTGGATATCTGAATTTATCTAGGATCGAAACACTACCATATAAAAGCAACCTTACGAAACCATATAGTTTCATCAATTCGTCAACAGCAAAAAAATAGTTTCGTCAGGCATCTATAGCAGCAAATTTCACCCTTACCCAAAAAAAATTCATTTAGGATTCGAGAACCTCCAATCCTAAATGAATTGGATTTTTTTTGGGAATCGATTCTACTCTTGTCGCCCAGAAGTATCAGTCAGCGGAGTAGGTTACGTGAAATCGATAAAATTATATAATATTAGTCGTTGTGAACAGTTTTGGACATTACAAAAAAAAAAAAAAACAATTATATACTTCTTAATGCTAAAATATTCGAGACTATAGACATGCTTGAAAAATTTGGACATGATGATGCTCTAACATCTCTATAAAATATTGCGTGCTATAAATTTCAAATCCTAAAAAAGAATTTTTCATTAAAGATTTTTTTAATTATCATCAAATAATTTTTTAACTGTACAGTACAATTGCATGATTATCAAATAATTATTTTCGAAATTAATGTATACAAACAATAGCTCATTTGACCAATACAAAATCGATAATTTAGTAGGACTGAATCGGGACATCAGATATCATGTAGGGGTAAGGTAGGCAGACACTCAAGTTTAAATATATACATATAACCAATAATAACAGACCAAAAATCTTAGGAGGGGAAGGGTTAATATTTGACATGTCTCTAAAACAATTAAAAGGCTAAATTGACTGCAATTATCATATTTAGAAAATACTCATCAAATAGGAGAATATAAGATTCTTTTATTGTTATCACTTAATCTGAAATTTTTGGTGTTGGGTAACAAATTGTTTTACAGTTATCGTATCATGTCACCTTATTTCAATAAAATAAATGATTGGTTCATACAAAATTGAATATTTACTGTATTACAAAAGAAATATCAAGTGACAAATATGATAATATAAATAAGCACGACATACCAGTAAATTACCTTGTCTTCGAATTTACAAATAGCTAAGCCTACTTGCGGTTCATCGTCTTTCTTTCACAGTTGCAAAAGGAGTAGGAGCAATATGCCAAATATGTCAAAAAATATGACAATAGAAAAAATGGAAGAACCGGGGCATTCACCATACTTTAATAGTGGTAAGACAATAGAAAAGGTTTTTTCGTTGGTTTATATTCAAAAAAAAAAAAATCAAAAAAAACTAATAAAATTTTTGTTTGTGGCGTAGATTTTTCCTATCTAGTAATTCTTTTTGCCGGTTTTGAAGTAAAAACTTTATTCTCTTTTATAGCCGCCTGCATGTTTATCACACTCCTTTGTTGGTCAGAAAGGTTGTTGTCTTATCGTTTAGAGCATATAAAATATGAAAGAAATCGACATAGATTTAGAACTATTTTGATAAGAACTTTTGGATATTCAATGGCCACAATATTTCGATTATTTTATATGTTAATTACAATGACCATGAATTCTCAACTTTTTATAATAGTGGTAAGTGAATCAATGGAATTCGTTGACGCGATTTATCATTATGTATATTAATTAATATCTTGCTAAAGGTTGTAGGATTAACCACAGGACAATTAATTACGGAATATTTACGATCAACATCGTAAGCATTTTCATTATAGGGGGACAAATAATAATTAATAATTATATTTAATGCATTATTTAATTTTTCAGTACCTATGCATCTAAACATGGCATTCTCGGTATCCACTCACCAACTAGTTTATCTAATAAGGATGACGACGATATACCATCAGCAACTACTCTAGGTAACGAATCAACTAGTGATAAAATTGGTGGATATACTGAAGTTGAATCTCGAGATTTCGTCATATCTAATATCCAAAGTGATGAAGATGATGATGATAATAATATGATGTATTCTACTAATGTTGAAAAACATGGTCTTGTCACTAACAAATAATAGTAATAATATAGCATTAAAAAAAAAAAAAAAAAAAAAAAAAAAGGGCAAAAAAAAAAAAAATTTTATTTTTAAGAATTCTATAGTCAACTAAATGAACATCAAATTTATGTGCTTAGAATTTTTACATTATAATAGTTTATGGTAACAATGTATGATAATCACTTTCTTTCATTCACTCTTTTTTATTGTAAATAATAAATAGAAAATTATGTTTTTTTTTTTTTTTTTTTTCGCGCATGATTCAATTATTTTATTTCGTTCATGAATAATTGTTAAGTTGGATGCATTAATAAAGAAAATATTCTAATTGTTTAATATCGATATTAATTATCCACCGTAGTGGTGTACATTAAGTGATATTAAAAGAGTTCCAATCCGTTATCCGTCGGATAATTGACCTTTTTTGCTTAAATAGAGAATCAGTCAGTACATGCACTCATTACATAGGATGTTTCAATAAATGCAAATCATTTATTAATCGACTAAATGATGAATGACGGATTGGAACGCTAACTAGGAACGGGGCCCATTAATCCGGAACGAAATTTGTCACAAAATCTATATTTGGGTTGGTTTACAGCAAAAACTATGCTTAGATAAATTCTAACCGCTTTATTTGTGGTAAAAATTTTGATATGCAGTTTTTTTTTTTTTTTTTACAAATTCCGGAAATTCAAAAAATTCGCGATCAGGTGATTTCCGCTTCGCTTCGGGCAATAATTGTGCGACGTGCCGTTATTTTTAGTTGTCATTCTTTCAATACTACAAGTTACGTGTTTTACGCGAATGTTCGAAAACCAATTTCTTTTACTTTAGTAATTATTTTTAATTAAACACCTTTTTATATTTAACTTGTAAATTATAAACAATTTTTATTTCATAATTTGGTTTATCCGTTTCGAACCACCTTTGGTTGAAAAATTAAAAGGTGAGTAGAGTTTAGGTAGGGCTTCTTTGCCAGGCGATCTTGGGTTCTTGGTCGCTTCTAGTGGACGTTGGATGCTTATGTGGAATTGACTAGTGTTACAGGCAACCGTTTTTCAAAAAATCAGTGCAAATTTTGATATGGTTTTGCCAACAATACTAGAATTGACTACATCAGTTGATAACTTCCACTAGCTGTCTTTTGAATTCTTTGTTGAGGTCTAATAATTCTGCATGAAGAATTATTTATGTACCTTCCTCTATACAAAGAATCCTTTATTCACATATTATGTTCGCATATTAATCTTAATTTTTTATAATTTTCTTAGGCTAAATCGAATTCGATAATATTCTCGGAAAATTAGCCTCCGCCATTCATCGAGCAAATTTAAATTTCGAACTGTTGAACCTGGCTAAATACCGATCGGGAATCCCTAGGCATATTTTAATTTATGAGATTTTTTATTTATTCGATGTATTAATTTAATTATGAGCATTGAATCATTCTAATATTTCGTTAATTTTTGATATAAGATTTTCAAATTAATTTAATAAAAAAATATTTTGGTTATGTCCACTCAAGTTTTCGAAAGTTTTTTTATTAGTTCAAATTCATAATGTTATTTACTGTTTTTTAAAATATTCAAAGTGTTTAAAATAATATTAACACATATTCATTTAAATATATATAATACGTATAATAATTAAACTAAAAAAAAAATTTTACCACGTGAAAAGTTTTTTCCTGTACCTTAAAATTTCTAAGAACCGACCCCCCCCCCCCGAAATTAAAGTCGAAGAGAGTATAGATAAGAATGAGGTTAATTTGTGCAAGCAGTTACTCATTAAATTTTCTGACTTATAATTAATTATTTAAATTTATAGGATGAAGACAAACAAGAAGAAAAGGCTAAAAAAAAGCGTAATTTAGATTCTTTTTTGGAAGAAATTAAACGGTTGGTAATCAAGAAATTATAATTACTATCATTTTAAATTTATTTATTAATGTTATATTTGTCTTAATGAACAATAGTGAGTAATAAGAAAGAGAGGATCGGCTGAGACAAAAACATGCAGGCGCTGGTGTTTCAACAGGTGTGTGTTTACTAATAATGCTTAAAACAATAACATATTCTCATCTTTTCTTTATTTGGCACTTAAAGTCGGTGCAAATGATATAGAAATTGGTTCTAGTGCCTACTTCTCTAACTGTTAAAGCAGGTTAGTTAAGTCCCAACATTTAAAGATATATATTTTAGGCTTGATCGTATACGTAATAGAAATTTTTTACACAGCTTTTGAGGATTGACCTGAATCACACGATACCGAGGTAATTTTATATTCTGATGATCTATCAATACAACTATCTTTTTAATTGATGTAAGCATTGTATATATTTTTTTTGCTTTGATAGGTTAATGAAGAAAGAGTTTGCAAAATATGGTCTTATAGCAAGTGTAAAGATTGGCCACGTACTCAAGAGGAAAAAGATAGGAATCGTAATTGTGGGTTTGTCAGTTTATGGATCGTGAATGTGCAGCTATAGCCTTAAAAAATATGGACGGAAGAGAATTGCTTGGCTATGTTATGAGAGTGTGATGGAGTAAAGCAATATCAATTCCACCACAACCTATTTATTGTATTATTATTAAACATACAATATATTTATGTATGCTGTTTTTTTAAATTAATTTAATTCATATTAATTAAACTGTATATTTTAAGTATTGAATGAAGGTGGACGATCACCGTCAAATGGATTACCTTTTAATGCACAAATGGTTCACGCAAATAGTAAGCATCGTAATATTTGTGTACTATGTTTTGTAATTACTCATTTTAATTTATTCTTTTTTTTCATTTTTAAACAGATTATGCTACTGTACCACACTTGGGTCGACTACAGTGAGTAGCTTGAGTAACTTAGATTGTTAACTCTATGTTTAATGTATTTTATTGTCTGAAGTAGAATTGCACTAATATATTTTGTCTGAAGATGAATAGAAAAAAATAGAACTTCTTGTT